TTGTTTAGTTCTAATCCTCATTTCTTATTTAGTATATTTTTGATTTGATTTCTAATCATATTCGCGTCATCTGATGAACCTGATATTAGGACGACGAAGTCATCAGCGTATCTTAGGTACATAAGTCTTTTGTAATTAGGGTCATTATGTATCAAACTAGGAATATTTATTTTCTCCATAGCTAGCTTGTTTATCTCTCAAGAACCAGGTTGGGTTTTCTGGATTCTTTGAATCTCTGATGTGAGTTTGTCATATTCTTTATTTCTAGCTTTCTTGACTCCTATTTCAAAACGATCTTTGAGTTTGGACATATAATTATCCAGTTCATTTAATACTATATTTGTTAGTAGAGGACTTAGGACACTACCTTGGGGAGTTCCTTTAGTTGGTTTTACATGTTGGCCATTTTCTTCCAGCGGGTTTAGGTAATCAGCTTTTAGTGATTTTTGTACTAATTGAAGTGTTTTTTCACAGACAACTTTGGAAGATATGATATTCATGATTATTTGATGAGGTATTTTATCGAAACATTTAGTGATGTCTCCTTGTATAACTCATTGGAATGTAGCCCCTTTTCTATATATTTGATTTAGAGCTTGATGAAGTGTTCTACCTGGTTTAAACCCATACGAGTACTCAGAAAATTCTTTTTCTCATAATTCTTCTAGAACAATAACTAAAGCTTTCTGTACGATCTTATCTGTAAGGTTGCCTACGCTTAATGGTCTTAATTCCGATTTACCTGGTTTGGGTATCATTACTCTTCTGGTAGGTACGAAATTAAATTTTCCGTTTTTGATATCGTTGGCGATATTTTCAAATCATTGAACATTTATTCCGTCTAGAGTTTTTGGTGTAATTCCTTTAGATATGTTACCGGGTTTACTCTTAATAAGATTATAACAGCCTTGTAAAAATTCAGGGCTAGCTAGAATTTTAATCAATCCGTTATATTTATTATCTCCTCTTAAGCATCTGTCCATCTCCTCTCTTACTCAAGTACTAACAGGTGTTGTTGATTCGCTGCCTTTATGGTTGAGGTCTTCGTCACCCTTTATGCTAGAGACTTGGTTGGTACTAAGTGGCAAGTTTTGGCTGTTTTCCTTCGTGTTTAAACTACTATGAAAACTCCGTCCCCGCATTAAATATATATTATATTCATAGGCGGTTAGATCCCGAGGTTGTAGTATGTTGTTGGTTGAGAATATAGTTTTAGGACTTTGCGCATGTATATCTTCTTTCCTGAAGTGAACAAAGGGGTTTTGGCAATTAACATTATTTAGTCTACTAATGCTAACATTTTTTTTCCCTTTTAAATGCCGTGATATTCTGCTTAAGACATTTAGGCTAAGCTGAGCCATTCTATACGTATCAAATTCGTTAACCTGTCCATGACTATCCCCACTAAGACTTATCTCCAAGAGGGTCAGACCACTTTGACTAGTCCTTTTGTAATCAGCTATCCCAAGAATATAGTTTTTAGCTGTTATTCCGGTGATTACCCGTGGCAGGTATCTTTTTGTAACAAAAAGGCCAAATATACCTGATAGTATTGAAATTAATTTTATTAGTACCTCTACAACATATACCTCACTCGGCGCACGACTAAAACTTTGTAATTCTATACATAAATATATAGAAGCAAAATCTCCGGATGTTAATAAAAGTGTTGCACCTGCTATAACAAATACTATTATTAAAGTATATTCTATAATAGTAAATTGTTCTGACATTTTATTAATTATTTTAATATATTTTTTTCTTTTACTTATTAATGTTTCTATAAAGCTTGAAGAATCCCCTTTAAACTTTTTTCTTGGATAAAATCCTGTTAACATTAATATTATCCCACTTATTAACAATATAAATATCTGAAAAGTATGTGTTATACTTGTTACATTAAACAATCCTCCATATAATCCTATTCCTTTTTGCAAATATGTTATATGTAAACTTGTTACTGCAGATATAATAGTATAAAATACTATTATTATACCAATTCTAGAATATAATATTGAACTATCCGGTCTTATTGTTAAACCATTTGACATTAGTAATAATAAAAGAAAGGTTAAAATCATTTATTTATTAATATATTGAATTTAAGGATAAATATTATGAATAATTTTACATAATGTTTAGAATTTAAATTAAAAGCTTTAAATAATAAAAATTATTTATACATAGTTATTTGATTTATTTATTTTTTAAATTGTATAATACACTGTTTGCCTGGTTCAGTAAAGCTAATCTTATTAACTGTATTAGCATTTGTAGAGCCAGTTTCTATGTAAAGGTTAGTATTATAAACCTGTTAATAGTATATCTATTTTAACTACCACTAGTTATAAAACTAACCTTAAATTCTAACAAGTCAATAAGGATAAATAAGTATATAGTAGCATAAATACAGAGAAATAAATTTTGCTATTTATATAATGCAACCCCTTAGTGTTACATATTGTTATATAGGTCATAACCACTTAAATTAAATTGTTATTCGATTTTTCTCGATTTCATAAATAGTTACCCTTTTATATAACTCCGTGTATATTCTAAACGTTTATATAAAAAGCATGAACCCTTAAAAGATTATATCTCTACAGCTAACAAAGGTGTATAAAAGATGTTTAGTATCCGCACCAGTATTAGTAATATTATCAATCAGGTCTTTATGCTGCTGGAATATATACTAATAAAGCATCTGTTAAATTACAAATAACCAAAAACATCAGATGTTTTTTATTTTTAATAACCACTTTCACTTTTCCTTGCAAGGGTAAACTCACAAATGCAGACAAATTTTGCCGTAAAAAAAAAAAGGATGCAATCAGCTTTGTTGTATACCATTTAGGCAAATTAACATAAACATGGAGTTTTACTCATTATTTATTCAATATCTGAATTTTCTTCTATATTCCGAGTTAATAAAGGTATAAGACGACTAAGTTGCCTACTTCTTTCAGCTAACTCTCTTATTTTATCATTACCCTGCTCTGTATATATAGCGTCTAATCGGCTCAATCTAGTGTAATGTTGCAGAAGCCTTGTAATTTCTTCCTGGGGTAAATTAGGTTGATTTAACTGCTCAAGAAATGCAAACATGAGAGATCTATTATTCCTAATAGTGCTTTGTATATGTCTAAGATCCCCCATTTCAAGCGTTGTTTGAGTAAATACACGATTGAATTACGACATTGTATTACTATCCCTATCCATAGTATCTGTAGAAGTATTAGTAGTATCATTATGATCACTAATATTGCCTCTACCCTGATTATTATTTGTATCGCCTCTACCCTGATTATTAGAACTATTATTTGTAAAGTTAGTTGGATTGTCTCTACCTTGATTATTAGGACTATTATTTGTAAAGTTAGTTGGATTGTTTCTACCTTGATTATTAACACTATAATTTGTAGTGTTGTCTGTGCCAGTTGGAACTTCACCCATGTACATTATACCAGTTACCATACCAGCTGGTACATACACAAATAAAAATTGTATCAGATCGTTTAAATCTGGCTTGAAATATCAGATTAAACTAAACTTTATAAGGCATGCTAATAGTACACATGCTAACGGCTTCAAAATGTACTTATATTTATTATTTATAATCAAATCTTTTAGGTTTCTAATGCTTTTCATTTAATTTTTTTTTTTTAATTTTATATATATATAGTTATAAAAGGAGATATATGTTTTATCTATTTAGAGAAGTTATCTATTAAAAAATAGATTTTTAGTATTTTAATTTATTTGTTTAACCACTAATGTATAATATTCGTTATATATAGATAACCCTGATCTTTTAATACCTCTATACTATCCAGTTATTAGATCATACAATCAATACAGGAACTTCGGCAAAGTTACTGATTGTATACATATTGGCATTGAGCTGTGCAATATACCACATAGCTCAGAACATTGGCCAAAATATGTTCCCTCTCTATTCAGATATACAGATGATTGATTTAATCTACCTGGGTATGCGTCACATTTTATACCAAGTGAAGGACAGGCATATGAATGTATCACGTCTGATCCCGATACCACAAAACGTGTATGTGTTAATTCGGGTATTACTACTCTGTTATCTACTTCTAACATTCTTAGTTTCCCTTTTTCTAAGTCACTTTCAGGTATAATGTAAGAATCAAACTCTATAGTGTCTTTTTCTGTATTAGTGAAATCTGGATATTCATAGCTTCAATACCATTGATGCCCTTCACCATATATTACTAATGAGGGATCAATAACTTCATCTATTAAATATAATAATTTAAAAGATGGAAATGCAATTAATATTAAAATTAAAGCTGGTGTTATAGTTCAGATTAATTCCACTAATGTACCGTGGTTTATATATTTATTAGATATATATGATTTTGCAAAGTTTATTATTATAGATACAAATATTCAACTAACGGAAAACATTATAATGGCTAAATAAAATAATATATTATTATGCAATTCTTCTAGTCCTTCCATCTGAGGGGTAGCGGTGTCTTGGAAAAATAGCCCTCAAGGAACAGGAGTGTCATTTAATGTTTTTATATTTTGATTAAATTTGCTTAACTGCCTAAAGCTTTCCATTTATTTTTATTATCTACACATATATTTATAAAAGCAGATATTGGTTTTATTTAATTAAAAAATTATCGATTAAAAAATAGATGTATAGTATTATAATTTAATTAAACGCTAATAAGAAGGAATCTTTATAAATTACGTATGATCCAGTGCTAGTATTGTTACTATTACCTTGGCTGAATTAAATAAAGGTTATATCTTTTCAGTTAATAAAGATATATAGAGGGTGACCAGTATAAGTACTTGCAATAATAGCTTTTCTTGCAACTGAGATGTACAATATTACAGATATTACACCAAATGGGTTATAAAGCATTTGTTAAATTACTAATAGCCAGATTACACCAAATTTTTTTTTTTCTTTTTTTCTTTTTTTTTTTCTTTTTACTTATAATATCACCTATTTATTCATTAGCCTGTCTTTCCTGAATATCCCTAATCTCTTCTATATTACGACTAATTGATACACGAAGCTGACGAGCTTGTTCCTCAAGCTGACGAGCTTGCTCGTCAGCTTGACGAGATTCCGCCTCAAGCCGATTAGCAAGTTCACGCTCCTGTTGCGCAAGCACTTCATCCAGACGTGCTTGTTCCTCAAGCTGACGAGCACGCTCTTCTAACTGACTAGCTTGCTCGTCAAGCTGACGATTCTGCCCTTCAAGATCTTCCACACGAGCTTGTTCCTCAAACTCGCGTTGATGTTCCTCTGCACGACGCTCCATCTGATCTTGTAAATCTTGGTGCTGCTGGCTCTGTTCGAGGTCCATATCAGATACATCAGATGTATCACTACTTAGACCTGGGACGTCATCATCGCCGTTTGAACCGCTATCAACATTCATGTACAATCTATCAGGAATTAGATCTGATGCTATTTTCATTAATTCAGATATATGTATATCATACAGTACAGTATAAATATAAACTAAACCAAACCCAGGGATACACATTATAATAAAAGCTAACCATATGTAAGGGTATTTTTTTCTTCTAATAACTATTTTTATTTCGCTTTGCAAGGGTAAACTCACAAATGCATGAGGTTTAGGTGGACTATTTAAACTTCACTCTAGTGAATTATAATTTCTACTGAATAAAGTTTGAAATAGATCACTATAAAACTGTGGAGCTAATCAAGGATATCTGTGTGAAACTTCTCCTTCTACTAATTGTACGTATAGAATGTATAAGAATAATCACGTGGCTACCACACTAATTAAAGAACCATAACTACTTATTAAATTTCAGCCGGCAAATGCATCAGGGTAATCACTTATTCTTCTGGGCATTCCCTGTAGACCTAAGAAATGTTGAGGGAAAAATGTTAAATTAACTCCAATGAATAATATCAAGAAGTGCACTTTACCTAACAACATATTATAATTCAAACCTGTGATTTTAGGTATTCAGAAATATCATGCACTAAATAGGGCAAATACTGCACCCATAGAAAGTACGTAGTGAAAATGAGCGACTACGTAATATGTATCGTGGAATGCAATATCAAGAGAAGCGTTAGCTAAAACAACTCCACTTAGCCCTCCTATCGTGAACATTACAACAAACCCTAATGCGAATAACATTGAAGGTGTTAAATTTAATGATCCACCGTAAGTAGTTGCTAACCAACTGAATATTTTAATACCCGTAGGTACTGCTATAATTAACGTAGCTGCTGTGAAATAGGCTCTAGTATCCACGTCTAAACCAACACTATACATATGATGACTTCAAACTACAAAACCTAAGACACCTATAGACATCATAGCGTATACCATTCCAAGATACATAATAATAAAAAAAAATTTTTTTTTTATTATATTGGACCATCTCTTTATCAACTTATTTATAATAGTCTCATTTGTTTAAAAAACTAGTTCAAGCTTTACCTAGTATTGTATCTGGTAGAGCCTTATGTGCTTTTAATGCTTTAAGTTCAAAATACTTAGGGATTAACTTTAATCTTTTTTGTTTAGCTGAAATACAAGGGTTGGATTTAAAATAGTTAAGCAAGTTTATTATTTCATCTTTTCTGTATACAGTTCACTTAAAAGCACCTACTTTAACCATAGGATAAATAGTGCCTCCATATAAAGTTACTAAACAATCTAACAAAAACTTATTTTTTTGACTTGCAGTTATAAAAATTTGATCTGACAATAAGTTAAGGTATACACTACCATCTGAATCAAAAAAACCTGCTAATCAACTGTTATCATAATTTAGATCTTTAGGATATTTAAGCACAATATTATACTTTTCACATAATTTTCCTAACTGTAGTAAACGATTAGGATTACGTATCAAACCATTTACAGCTTCAATGATATTTATAATACCTTGTTTATGATGTAATCTGTATCTTATATGGTTAATTCCTGATCTTAATTTCACAGAACCACCGAACTTTTGTTTAACCGTATATAAACACTGTTTATCTCGTATTTCCATAACTATTTCAAGACTAGCGTACCCTTTTTTTGATATTTGAAAACAACCATCTCCATCTATTAATCCAGCTAACCATTCATTAAATTTGTCTTTTGTTATGTGACTTGTGTTTAAGTTTTTTTTACAAATGGTTGATAACAAACGTATGGCCTCTGAGATTCCTACTAACATGCTTAATCTTTTACGTATTAAAGAAGTATAAGATTTTATTTTATAATTTGTATAAAATAGTGTTTTGGTTATCTGCGGGTTGTTAACATTAAACAATTTGTTTATATTTATTAGCTTTATTACTATTAAGGCATAATATTTAATGTAGTAAATATGACTTATTTTAATAGTAGCTTTTAATTTTGTTAATTTCCTGCATATAGTTTGTTGCATTAAATTCTTATTTGTTATTATTCATATAATTTTTATAATAAAATTTAAAGGGCCATCTATTTTTCGACCGAATACATTTTTATTTGAACTAGCTGATATTGTAGTACTTATTATACCAAATCCTGGTATAATAAGTATGTAGACTTCTGGATGCAATCAAAAAAAAAATTTTTAACACAAATTATCTTTACCTATATATATATAATTTAAGGTTTTCTTGTTCTAACATGCTCAAATAATCCATGTATGTGAATAGCTTGACTAGGTACATCTAATCTTCACTTTACAACTCTTATTTGTTCTACATTATTTGTAGATTCAGTTATGTACTAAATACCTAAATAATCTAAATCTGCTTTTCCTCAGCCATTGAGTAATAAAGGCATAAAATTCTCATAGTTTCCACAGTATGAAGGATACCTAGTAACGTCAAACTTAAATAAACATATTTCAAAGCCTATCTGAGCCATAACTCAAAGTCTTCCATTGTCTTGTTTAAGCTTATCAGCTTGTTCTCATAACTGGTTTTCCATAAGCATTCATCAAGAGATGGCAGCTTTATTTTTAATTTCAGCTATTAAGTACGGAGTGCATTCGCCATATAAATTTCCAGGTACTAGACATACTTCAAACACTGTATAATCCGGTCTATGGTTTTCAGTAGCTACTCATTCCGGAGATATACATCAATTGTCTTCGTAACGAAAATATAAAGGTAGAAGTACGCTTGTTATTCGCGAGTAATCACACTCTCATAGAGGTATTTTTCTATCTACCATGCTTTTTAAATTACTTATCATAGCATAAATAATGGCTTTGTTGAGAAACGACGATTATAAAGGTAAATTTACAAATGCATGAGGTCTAGGAATATTTATGTTATTTTTTACTGAAATATCTATATATACAGGTAAAATTAGCTATTATATTAAATATTTTTAATTTAATTGGACTATATCTTTATCCTCTATTGTTTCACTTATTAGTAAAATTAATTCATGCTTTAAATAAGGGGCTTTCAACTGAAGCTTTATAAGCTTTAAGATTTTTTAAATAATAATATTGGTCTACTAGAAATAACCTTTGTTTTTTATTAGATCTGGATGGGTATTTTGATAAATATGTTTTAAAAAAGTCTATGTCAGTTTTGGCTTGTATAGATCATTTGTAATAACCATTTTGACTTTTATCAAAATAGATATTACCTTTAAAGATATTTTTAAAGTCAGCCACATCAATTAATAATTTATTTGTTACACTAATAGACAATTGAGGATTATCATTTTTAATGGAATATGTTATAGTACCGTTTGCATCAAAAAACCCTGAAAACCAGCCATTATCTTTTGTAATGGTTTTTGGGTATATTATAGGTATGTTTAATAATAAACATACTTTTTCTAACTGTTTTAGTCTTGATGTGTGCCTAATATTACCATTAATTCTATTAATTAACTCCACCATACCTTTATTATTATGTAATCTGTATCTAAGCGCTTTAACTCCGGATCTTAATTTTATAGATCCACCTAATTTTTGTTTAATTATAAATAAAGCATGCTCGTCTTGTAAAGACATTGTAATTTCACAGCTACTGTATCCTGATTTACTAACTGATAGAGAACCATCTCCGTCTATTAAGCCAGCTAACCATTGATTTCAAGCTTTATTTAAGTCTTTATTGTTTTCTTTATATAAGGAAAACTTAGAGGATAATGGACGTGTAGTCTCTGAGGTTCCTACTAAGAAATTTAATCTTTTTGTTACCGGCTGATTATCTGACATTAAAAAAGTTTTCACTTTACAGGGATAAAGTATAACACAAAGTGCTAATATTATACCGCTTACTGATAAAGTATAATTTAATGTATACTCAAAGTTCCAGCATATAGTCCATTTCATTAGATAGATTACTTTATCTAGGGGCCATTTTTGACCAAAAAATCCATTTCTTCAAATTTAACTTATTATCAGCATTGCTTATAATCTCGTATTAAATACAGGTACCGATAGTATAACTCCGGGCTTGTGCATTATATAAAGTAAATATAATGGAAGAAACCGACTGTACATTAAGCATCATTTCAGATACCTACCAGTGAACCAGTCTGTAGCGGTCACTTAAATAACCGACGGTCTTTAAATGAGAAATTTATTAACCGTAACACTAGTATCGCTAATGCTTATACTAATTTTTCCTTATATATAGTATAATTATAAAAAATACTAAATATGTTTAGTTTTTTTGATTATCCAAAATAATTAAACTTAAGAGTTGCAAGTAGTTTTTGAAGCATTAACTAAATCTATGGTATATTGACAACATATATAAATATATACGCAATATTTGCTAATTTAGATCTTATATTTTTTTTTTACATCTGTCTTAATAGCTTCATAACTTATTAACCTATATGTTAAACCATGACTTGTTTTCCCTTTTCTAAAGAATATTAGATTTGTTTATCATTCTGGTTTTTTCTATTATTTGTTTCCTTTTTTCAGTATCAAGATAATGTTTGTTTACTAAATCTACATGAACTTGTTTTCATAAGGTATAGGCTAAAGATTTTTTAGTTAACAAAGTATATTTATCAAAGTAAGGAAATATATTTGCACAAGCTTTGACTCCTGATATACGGTATTCAAACACGGTTTTTATATAATGATTTGACACTATACCTCCTTTAAATATTGTACAAAGTTGCTTTAATATATATAAATTACTTTCTCCTTTTTGTGCTATACTAAAAATAAAACTGAATCCTTTTTTTTCTCCAATAGAACATGTAAAACATCCTTCTCCATCTGTAAATCCGGCCAATCAACTATTATCTAGACTAGGTAAAATAATCTTTTCAATAAAAACTATAGAATCTAGTCTAATGTTACCTTTATTGGCTCAACTGTTAAATCCCTTAATGAAATTTTCGAGTTTTTTTTGTTTAGTAGGCAGTACTATATTACCATTTAATAAACTAATAAGAATTTCTATTTCTTTTTTACTTTGTGTGATATATCTGCTAAATTTTGCGGATTGAGATAT